ATCAAATATTACCATGTTCTGTACTTTCAGGAGTACAGCAAAATGATACATGTCCTGCAGTCCTACTGTATCATCGCTACTGGAGTGCGTATTACCTGCTCCAACCAAAATGGGCAGGGAAAACGCAGCACAGTCCTCAGCACCAGTGGCAGCCAGAATATGAGAGACAACATAGGGGCCATATTTGGACCAAAGCAGGTTGACACATTAGATTACACATTTTTCTTGACTATATTATTCATTTGCAATCTGCAGAAGTCTGTCTGACCAAATCACTGCTGTGGAATGACAGCCTCATTTAACCAAAAGTTGCCAGAGTAAAACTTTTTGCTTCTACTGTGATGTTCCCTGTAGTGTTTGTCTAATGTGTATTTAAGGAATTTTATATATCCAAGAGTAACGGAATTCCTTCAACTGTTGCGTTATTCAAATTTGATTTGCTGTTGTTTTTTTTTTTACTTGTTTTGCTATGGTTTAATGTGTGTTGTGTGTTCTGCAGCTACAGAGTCTTCTGTCTTTTCAACAAGTGCCCCCTACAGAAAATATTATTGAGGAATATGGACTCAAGGATGCAGATCTTCCCAAAGAGCTTTTTACGTGAGTGGCACCATTGCACGAGTGCCCTGTACTGTGTTCTCTGAATACAAAGCAGGGGTTTTTAATTGAAAACTGTGTGTTGGGCAGCATCACAGGATTTGTGTCACGAGGAGACCACAGTGTTGGGAGAAGCACCACAGACAGACAGTTCTTTTTCATTAACAACCGACCATGTGATCCTCTTAAGGTAATTTATTGTCAGTGGATTTATCTGGAAATGTCAGGGTGATGATTAATCTTTTTTCACTAACCTCTGTTTGTTCCCACCTTGCAGGTGACCAAACTTGTGAATGAAGTGTATCATATGTATAACAGACATCAGTATCCATTTGTTGCCTTGAACATAGCTGTTGCCTCAGGTAAGAAACTTGCCATTCAAACTGAAGTTATTTATAATACACTTTTTGACTTTCTCTGCTATGTGAGTGTTGGTGTGGTGTCTTTTCAGAGTGTGTGGATGTGAATGTAACGCCAGACAAACGACAGATTTTCCTTCAGGAGGAGAAACTCCTGCTGGCTATTCTAAAGACCTCTCTCATCCACATGTATGAGCTTGGAGTCAATAAGATCAGCCTGAACTATACACCAATACTCAGTAAGTCAGTAACTCACTAAGTCAGTTAAAATGTATACATTTATATTGTCACAGAATTATATCACTGAAAGATTTTTAGGAACAATTTTGTATAGATCAAAAGTGAATAAAATGTTGAGTGCTTTTATTTTGATGGTTTGTTTCTTGCCTTGTCTCTAGATACAGCATCTGCATCTGAACTGTGTCAGGTCCTCCAGTCCGATGAGAATATGCAGAAGCATGGAGAGGACAGGGAACCAGTGATTCAGAGCCCAAAGTCATCTCTGAACCTGGCTGGCTTAAAAGCTGCTTTTTCATGTCACCACAGTTCCAGTTCTGGGAACAAGTCAAACACAGCAAAAACTGCCAACACTGTCCCCACACAGAAAACACTGCAGTCTTTTTTTAAGGGTTCGGTAAAATTTTCCACATGCAACCCAGGTGTAAAATCTCCTCTGAAACAAACAATAGAGCTTGTGCAGTGCTCCCCAGTGGGAAAAGGAAAGTCAGTGCTAGATGGGTTCAGATATGGAAAGGCGTCATGCAGTGATACAGACAACAAAAAAGACTGTGTTGCCAGCAGTTGGGACTTGACTACAGCAGCTCCAATTAGTCATTGTTCTGGCCCAGAGCTCAGTTCTTATGAACCAGTGATTAACACACCCAGTGTAAAAAATGAAACATTTGAAGAAATATTAGACAGTAGCCACATTGTTCCTGAGGGCTTAGAGTTACAGACTATGCCATCCACTTCCAGGGTGGATGATACCATGAGCCCTAATGCCAAGAGGGCCAGAAAAGAGAACCAGTGTGCTTACAGAGGAGGACAGTGTCTCTCCAGTTCTCTCTACAAGAGCTTGTAGGGAAGATGAGGAGGTTACAGGACCAGCAGAAACAGAAGGCCGATGAGAAGCTACACTGCAGACGCTTCAGGGCCAAGATCAGTCCTGGAGAAAACCAAAGTGCAGAGGAAGAGCTCAAAAAGGAGATCAGGTCGGAATTTTCTATTATACCCCCTGCTGACAAAATGTACCAGTATTGATGTGCAATCTCCAGAACAGTAAATTTTCCTTTCATCCCTACAGTAAGGACATGTTCAAAGAGATGGAGATCATCGGTCAGTTTAACCTGGGCTTCATTATCACCAAACTCACCTCAGACATCTTCATAATTGACCAGCATGCTACAGATGAGAAATACAACTTTGAGATGCTGCAGCAGCACACTGTGCTCCAAGGACAGAAACTCATAGTGTAAGAAATTAAATGTCTAGATGAATGCTTTCATTGTATTTATTTTACTAGGTACTGATGTGTTTTTTCTTTCTCGTGCATGTTTGCAGCCCTCAGAAACTTCATCTCACTGCAGTCAGTGAGAACGTGCTCCTAGAGAACATTGAGATCTTCAGAAAGAACGGCTTTGAATTTCTGATTGATGAGGACGGTATGAACATACTCCCTGTTTTATATAAGGGATTAAATATTAATTTGAACTTATTTTCAACACACTGTTTTGGATAATTGCAAATACTAAATCAATTTTTTTTCATTGTGACTGTAGCTCAGGTGATGGAGAGAGTTAAGCTGGTATCATTGCCCACCAGTAAGAACTGGACATTTGGTCCAGCTGACATTGAGGAGCTGATCTTCATGTTGAGTGACAGCCCTGGGGTCATGTGCCGACCATCCAGAGTCAGGCAGATGTTCGCCTCAAGAGCTTGTCGAAAATCTGTGAGTTTAAAGTATTTTCAGACATTTAGACAAACCGAGGTCTGTCCTTAGTTGGAAGTCAGCAGTCTTAATATAGTATATTCAGGCAGCTATTGATTTCCCTTCAGTTCCTTACACTATTATTTTAACCTTTAAATGTCATGTACTTTCATTTTAACTAGTTGTGTTGTGTTGTAATGTAGCACAGACTTGTGAATTTAATGTGTGCTGTTTGAATGAATAAAGCAGATGTGTGCTTGTCTCAAGAATCTTTGAAACCTCTGAAAGTTAATAGTAGTTTTTTACTAAAATAAGTGGAAACAAATGGCAGCATTGAAAATCATATAATAATAAATCTAAAACTTAAAGGTTTGGTAGTAGCGTAAGCTAATTTGTAGTCATCAAAAATGTAAAAATACTGTGATGATTCTTTAAATGTTTACAATATAATCGCTTATTATTGAGTTTATTTGGTGACTAATTGACTTGAACATTACTTTTCCTTTTCAAGAATTCTTCCTGACATGTTATGTACTGTTTGTGCTCTTCAGGTGATGATTGGCACTGCACTAAGTGTCAGTGAGATGAAGAAGCTGGTGGTTCACATGGGAGAAATTGAGCATCCATGGAACTGTCCTCATGGAAGGCCCACCATGAGGCACCTCGCCAACTTGGACATCATCTCATAAGACTGAGCATGTCAGAGAAAAACTGTCTGCATGGAATTATGCTTTCATTCTAGTTTATGCCAGACATCACTTAAACATCACCTTTGGTGAAGCACTGATACACTGGAGTGCAGGCTGTCGATAATGTGCAGTTTTATGCCTCAGAGGCCTGGTATGACTGTTTAGCGTGTTTTTCTAAATATCTGTTAAAATATGTTCTGATTTTATTTGTATTTTGCATCAGAAAATAAACTTTTTTAGCACCTAATTTATGGTGAAAATAAACGCATTTCTGTCATGTGTTAGTGCTATGTGCATTTACCCTTTTTGACTAATAAAGGTTGCCGTAGTTGTAAGCGTCTTCACCGTTACCACGGAGATAAACGCGAGACAAACTGCGCAAAATGACACAGGTGAACGAGAAGCAGGAAAATACGATAATAAACGATAAACAAGAAAACAATAAAGCGTTCGGGAACTCAGAGCTGCCACAGACCACGAAAGGAAGAGAAAACACAAAGTTATCGTGCTTCTCTCCTAGTTTAAAGGTGAATTCAGCGGATGTGGATCACGGCCAAACCAACCCCCGAGGTCATCTTGTCGGTGATGAGCAGTTCGAGAAGGAGCTCCCCAAACTATTTAACTTAATTGTACAGAGGTAAAGCATCACTCGTATCATAACATTAGATACTTTTAGCCACACGCTAATCACGCTTTTGTGTCCCATTGACAGGTATGAAGGGGAAACCTGTGAAGGCCAGTTTCATGGAGAAGGTGTTGCTTGCTTTAAAGGTGGCCATGTGTACAAGGTACAAGGACACCATGGGGAAAGAAAATGGGCCTACATGGTTTTACAGTATGCGGACATGACAAACTCTTCAGTCTGTATAACTCTATATTTGCTTAATTTGTTCAGCCTAAAAAGAACTAAAAACAGTTTTGTCAAGTTGAAACTAGTCTGCAAATATAATTCACTGAGCAATACTGTTTTTTTTTTCCAAATTTGTTATTTGAAACTACATAAAATCATTTCAGATATAGTTCTTTAAATGCAATTACAAAGACAAAAATACCTTGTAACATTTAGCATAGCATTAAAATGAATTCTCAAGTACATTATAAAAGTGCACCAGAAATGTTCTTTTAATGTACTTTGCATTAAAGTGTTGTTTCCATGAGGATAAAGAAAAGAATATTATAAACTGCTGTGTTTTCTGAAGGGCATGTTTTCCAGGGGACTTATGGATGGAGCAGGTGTCTTCATACGGGCAGACGGACTGAAATATGAGGTAGGGTACAATGATTATATATTAGGACAACTAATAAATGGAGTGTATTAACATAACAGATACATGTATTATAATTTTTTATACTAATGAATTGAAATGTTATTGTGGTTTACAATATGTGTCACTACATTCTAAAAATACATTTGGTACACATACAAAACAAAAATGACTAAAGTTAAATAAAATAGATAACATAGATTGCTATAAATCAAAATCTTGAAGGGAATATAAGCTTCTAATCCATCAGGGAGAATTTGTGTGCAACAAACCCATGGGCCAGGGCACCTACACCTGGCCAGATGGTAGCTCCTATATGGGGGAAGTGTATGATGGTGTACGCCATGGGACTGGAACCTACAAATGTGCCAAAAATGGTGTGGTATACAAAGGGCAGTGGGATCAGGGCAAGAGGCATGGAAAGGTATGACTCACCAGTTTCTACGAGGCATAGTTTTCGTTTTATGAATTTAGTTTATTTTCTAATTTGTTGTCTTTGTGTTAGGGTAGAGTGTATTATAACCAGGATAAAACCTCTTGGTACAAAGGAGATTGGGTAACGAACAACATAGAGGGATGGGGAGTGAGACGGTATGTATGGACTACATCAGGTAATTTGTAGCATGAATTACAAATGAACTGCCCAAAGTTGCATTTGTTTGCTAACAGCTACCCGTCTGGTAACGTTTACTCTGGTGAGTGGAAGAACAACCGGAAACACGGAGAGGGCACGATGAGGTGGCGGACGCAGCAGTATGTTGGGAAATGGGTGGATGGAGTCCAGGTATGAAAGCACACCGTGGCAGAGGAAGTTATCCAGCAGTATTATCTTAGCCCTCTTCCATATTACTGACATCAGCACTTCCATCATCTTATTTGGTATCTCAAAGACACTACAGGAAAATAGCTTAAAACAGAAATCTTATGTTTTTTTGTTGTTGCTGTGAATATGATCTTTCTTCTCTGGCAGCATGGGCAAGGCACACATGTTTGGATCTTAAGACGAGCGGCTGGATCCCAGTATTCCCAGAGTAACCAGTACACAGGAGATTTTGTTCAGGGTCAGAGGCATGGACAAGGAACCTTTCACTATGCTGGTGGTGCGATCTATGAAGGAGAATGGAAGAACAATAAAAAGCATGGGAAGGTTAATTCGTGATGCAGTATTGCCATTTACTGTCAAAATGCATTCCCACATTCAGTAAAATAGAAAATAAATAAGTTTGAAAGCTTTTTGCTTGCAAATAACAAATTCTTTTTATGCCCACATTTGTACTACATGTTCCTAAATTTGATGTGCACTACCAGTCAAACGTTTGTA